CATTTGTCCTAACCAATATAATGTACAACACAAAGAGTGAATCCTAATGGAAACAATAAACTTCGAGTGATGATGTGTCAATGTAGATTCTTCTATCGTAATAAATGTATCACTCTGGTGGGTATGATAGTGGAAGAGACTCCCCATGTGCAGGGGCAGGGACTATATGAGAAAGCTGTACCTTCTTTTTTTTTATTTTTATCAATTTTGCCATGAACCTAAAATTGCTTTAAAAAAATAGTCTATTTTTAAAAATCAATCAAGGTAACCCACCATATTAACAGAATAAAAGGCAAATCTATATGATTATATCAAGAAATGCAGGAAAAGCATGAAAAAATTCAGCACCCATTACTAATTAATTTTTTTAATTCTCAGCAAACTAGTAATATAAGACAATTTCAATCAAATGAAGGACACTTATGAAAACACCAAAAATTAACAGCATAATAGTGAAACACTGAATCCTTTCTTCCTAAGTTCAGGAATAAGGTAAGAATGTCTACCCTCATGACACCTATTCAGCATTGGACTAGAGGCCTAAACTAGTGCAGTAGGTCAAGATAAAGAAATAAAAAGTATAAAATCTGAAACATGAAAAGAAAATTAAACTGTCCCTATTCTCAGACAATGCTTGTTTACCTAAAAAAAAAAAAGTAGCAACCAAAACAACAAAAAACTAAAATAATAAATTTATAAAGTCAGATACAAAAATCAGTGGTGTATCTACGTATTAACAGCTTACTATCTGAATATAAAATTGTTTTAAATATCATTTACCATAGCATAAAACAAAAAATACTTAGAAGAAAATTTAACAAAATGTGAAGAAGACCTGTACACTAAAATAACAAAATATTCTTAAGAAAAACTAGCCCTGGCCAGTTTGGCTCAGCAGTTAGTGTCAGCCCACAGACCAGAGAGTCCCGGGTTCAGTTCCCGCTAAGGGGACATACCTCGGTTGCAGTTTGTCCCCGGCCCTGGCTGAGGTTGTGTGGGTGGCAACCAGTCGATGTGTCTCTCTTACATCGATGTTTCTCTCTCTCTCTCTCCCTCCCTTTCTCTCTCCCTCTCTATCTGAAGATAAATGAAAAAATGTCCTCGGGTGAGGATAAAAAATAAAATCTTAAAAACTAAAACAGACCTTAAAAAACAAAGACACATACCTTGTTTATGGACTAATAAGTAGATTCAACATTAAGATATCAGACCACCCAAAGCTGATCTATAAATTGAATGCAAACTCAATTATACAATAATGCGTAAGTCCTAGAATAGCTAAAATAATTTTAAAATGAACAAAGTAGGAGGACTTACACTCATAGTTCATTACATACTCTCAACTTTATAGTATCTAAAGCTACAAAAATCGAGATAAGGTGGTACTGGCAATAGGACAAAGAGATCAATGAAACAGAAAAGAGCAGAAATAGATCAAAACTTACACATTCAACTGATTTTTTTGACAGAGGGAAAACAGCCTTTTCAATAAATGCTATTGAAACTATTAGATATCCACATTTTTAAAAATGAACCTTGATACCTATTTCACATCATACATGAATTAATTTGATGTGGATCACCAACCTAAACATAAAGCTAAAACTACAAAGCTTTAAAAAAAAAAAAAAAAGTGAATATATCTGTGACTTGAATATAAACAGGACTTCTTAGGGAAAATGCGCCCCCCTCCACCCTGCAAACAAACAACACACACACACACACACACAAAACATAAAATAATAAACCTAAGAGAAAACTTTGATAAAATTATACCATCAAAGGTGAAAACACTTCTACAAGTCAATAATAAAAAAGCAAATACCTCAATTTTTTAAAATGTAATAAAAACGCAAATACCTCAATTTTTAAAATACATCAACTTCACAAAGTATGGTGAATCATTATGTTGATATATAAATTCAAATGACAATGCAATTTAAGACTATGAAATTCTATTTCACACCCACTAGAATGGCTAAAATTACACAGATAGACAACAAAAAGTATTGTTGGAACTGATAGGAATGTAAAATGGTACAACCCCACTGGAGAAGGTTTGCCAATTTCTTTTAAATTTAAACATGACCTACCATTTAACACAGCAGTTCTGTTCCTAGGTATTTACCCAAGGAAGATGAAAACATTTCCATAAAACACATATAAGAATATTCATATCAGCCAAAAATACCAAAAACCACCCAAATATTCATCAATAGAATGGATAAATTGTGGCATACTAATAAAATAGTATACTACTCAGCAATAAAAAGGAGATATTAATACATTTGATCACAAGGATGGATCTCACACATTATTCTAAGTGAAAGAAGATGGACACAAAAAAGAATATGGTATAATTCCATTTAAATAAAATTTTCCAACAGCCAAAACTGATCCACAGTTAAAATTTATAACAGTGGTTACCACTTGATGGAAACTATGTGGAAATGACTGGGGAGGGAACTTCCTAGGATGATGTAAATGTTCTATATCTTGATAAAGATTAATCCCCTTCTCAAAACTTATGGTATTGTACATATTTAACACATAGGAAATTTACCTCAAAAGATGTAAACAACCCCCTCCCCCCAAAGAACTGCGCTCCTCGTGTATGTAGATGGCTTCACTAGTGAATTCTTCCAGGCATTTAAAGAAAGAAGTGAGCCCTGGCCAGTTTGGCTCAGCGGTTAGAGCGTCGGCCTGCGGTCCGGAGAGACCCGGGTTCGGTTCCCGCTAAGGGCACGTACTTCGGTTGCAGTTTGTCCCCGGCCCTGGTTGGTCGTGCGGGTGGCAGCCACTCGATGTGTCCCTTCACGTCAATGTTTCTTTCTCTCTCCCTCTCCCTTCCTCTCTCTCCCTCCCACTCTATCTGTACCAAAAAATGGAAAAATATCCTCGGGTGAGGATTAAAAAAAAAAAGAAGTGATACCAAATGTACACACGTTCTTACAGAAAATTGAGAAAGCAGAAACACTTCCCAAATTGTCTTACAACCTAAGGATATCGTTAAAAAAAAATAAGGAAATTATAAGATAGATCAATTAAAGGCCACTCTTACGCACATAAACAAAACAATACTAAGAAAATAACAAATCAAACCCAACTACATATTTCAAGAATGTATACGAACAATTAGACTTGTGTAATAATGTAATATTGGTATATTTAAAAATTAATGTACTTCCCACATTAACTACAGACATTAAATCATATCATCAAAATAGAAAAGGCTTTTAATAAAAAGACTCCTATGCATGATAAACACTCTCAACAAAACAGGAGTAGAAAGAAAACTTTCTTAACCTGTTAAAGAGTAACACTAAAAACACAGTAAACCATACCATACAGTTATAGAAAGCTGAAACTAAAAGGAGAAATAAAATGTTTAATGCAAAAACTAGTAAATAAAAAGAGTAAATCATTCTACTAACATCAGATTTTTAAAATTTTCACTCAAAAAGCATTATTTAGAGATAAAGGATCATTCCATTATTATAAAAGAGTTAATCACCCGAAAGACATAATAACTCTGTATTTGTTATCAGTGAAAACAGAAAATAAATAAATAAACAAATCCTTTCAGGAAACGACATATCAGAGAAAACAAAAGGTAAGAACGTGAAAGATTTAAACAAGATTAATGAATTTGAGCTCATTAATATTTATAGAAAAACACACAGCAATTTCAAAGAATTGAAATCACACAGTTTATATTCTCTGTTCTGGAATTACATTATAACTCTGTAATAGACATAATTAGAAAGCCCTCCAAACATTTAGAAATTGAGCAATAAACTTCTAACGATCAAAAACAAAATCACAATTAAAATTTAAAATAATATTGTATTTTGAATAAAACAAAAATATGACATTTCAATGATTTCTGCTATTCTAATTAAAATAGCAAAGAATACTACATATCTAGAAATAGATCTGCTGAAAATGTAGAAGTCCTCTCTATTAAATGAAAACTATACCACATCATTGAGATAAAGTTATAAAGCCCTACATAAATGGAGGAATATACCACGATCATAGATTGTTTGACTCAATATCATTAAGATGTCAATTATCTACAAAATGATTCTAGTTTCAGAACAATCCTAATCAAAATTCCAACAGATGTGTGAGGGGGACTGTGAGTTTTTAAGAGTAAGTAGAGCTCTGGCCAGGGTGGTTCAGTTGGTTGAGCATTGTCCTGTGCACCAAAAGGTAACTGGTTCTATTACTAGTCAGGGTACATACCCAAATTGGGGGTTTGCTCGGTGCATACGGGAGGCAAGGGATCAATGTTTCTCTTCTCCCCCCCCCCCTTCCTCTCTAAAATAAATTTTTAAAAAAATATTTTTATAAGTATGCTTTGTTTATTTTTAATCCTCACCCCAGGATATTTTTCTATTTATCTTCAGATAGAGTGGGAGGAAGAGAGAGACAAATATGGATGTGAGAGGGACACATCGACTGGCTGCCTCCCGCAGGACCCCAACCAGGGCTTGGGACAAACCGCAACTGAGGTCCATGCCCTTGGCTGGAATCGAATCTGCGACTCATTGGTCTGCGGGCTAACGCTCTACTGCTGAGCCAAACCGGCCAGGGCTACATTCTTTATTTAAAAAAAAAAGAGTAAGTAGAAACTGAAACACTGATTTGAAATTATAAAAATATAAAGGGCCAAGAATAGAGTAGGAGAGGGAAGAAGTCAAAGTACATACACTACCAGATATCAAGACAAAGTAGAATAATTGAAGACAGTGTCATATTGGCACAAGAAGAGACAAACAGACCAGCAGAACAGAGTCCAGAAACATACTCAAACTTACAATGACATATGAAGAATAGAAAAATCTTGGGGGGAAATTTTCATGTAGAAGAATTCAAAACTTTAATATATTTTCTGATCATATCAATTACAATAAACAATATATTTCAGTTAAATTTTTTCAGACTATATAAAATAGCTTCCAAAACAATTAGCAGACCTTCTGTAAATCTCTTACCTCTCCGAAAGCTCCTCGACCAATCACTTTTAATATTTCAAAGTCTTCTCTATGTAATCGCATCTGTTTCACTTTAGAAGTAAATGGTTTAGCTGAAACAAAAAGTAACATCAATTACTTTCTTAATGAAATGTGATGCAAATTAATAAACAGTATTTCTTAAACAATAAAAATTCAAGTTATAATTAAGAATTAAGCCAAGTATTTAATAATTTCATCAAACTATACTGAGAACAGATTTAATTTCCATAAGAAAATTATATATTTCCTTTATTTCTTATATATGAATCACATTTTGGTGAAGAATATATCTTTGTCTGGTTTGCAGGAAGACAGTGAATACCTTGCAAGGAACTTAGACATTATCCTATTAACTATAGGGAATAAACAGACATTCTTTAAAATTATAAAATCAATTATATGTTCTGTTTCCTCTGAAAGAAAGTTAGACCTATTTCCTTCCCTTCCTCCCCTCATGTCCCTCTTTATCCTCATACAAGAAGAAGTTGATATGATTAAAAGGTCATTATATACAGGTACAGCTCTCTTCTCCCTGCTTCCATGCAGCCAGAGAATGACAAGATCAAAGGTATGTATTTGAGGATTCGTAGAGTAAAACAGACACCGTAAGCCTTAAACTTGCCTTGGGTCTGAAGTTATTTAGCTCTAACTAGTTTAGAAGAGTATTTCACACTGCATACATAGCTCAGTATACCAGATATTTCTGCACTGATGTTACAGATCATAAGGAAAGTAAAAAAGAAATTGGATCTCTGTTTGAAATTCACACAACCGAGAAGAAAAGGATCAAAGAAAGATATCAAATCTGAATGAAGGATTGCCTACGGTGAGAGACAGAAGATGTAAAACCATGGAAGCCATGGAAGTGAACACTGATAAGATGACCAGGGTACCCTGGCTTGGAACAAACTAGACTGGACAAATTTTGAGACTATGGCCAGCCACTGTGTATCAGTCAGGGTCCCCATAGGAAATAAAATATCCTAATCTGAGGAAGGTTTATTTACAAATAGACTGTTCACAAAGGTGTAGGGGGAATACTAGGAAACAGGAAGAGTGCAATAATCTGACACTAGGGTCCCTCCCTTTCTTAGTTTCTAAACCAGCCTATCAGAAATACTTGGTTAAGAGGAATAGGTACAGAATATAGAAATTACAAATAAAGATGTGGAGCCAGCCAGTGTGAGACTAGCACTGATCTAGTTGCCATCTAGAGCTGGAAAACACCATGAAGCCTACAAATATAACAGCAGTTCAAGTGTATGTTCCATTTGACTTTAGGCCCCTCTCAAGGCTTCTAAATAACCTGACATCCAAATAAAGTATATGCACTGTATTTGTGTCTCATTACTGTCCCTAAATCCAAACAGAGCATTTCATCACAGATAGTTATTTGTAATCCAGTTCAATTCTTAAAGAATAATTCTATGTATACCTTCCTCTGTATAACAACAGTCAACTTATCTAAAAGGTCAGAAATCTAGATATTTCAATCCTCTGAGACACTACTGCAAAACAAGAAAAAATTGTTTTTAAAAACTAGAGTAATTGAAATACAATTCAGGTAAGCAAAAGATTATTATTCAGCCCTGGCTGGTTTGGCTCAGCGGTTGGAGCGTCGGCCTGCGGTACACAGAGACCCGGGTTCGGTTCCCGCTAGGGGCGCGTACCTCGGTTGCAGTTTGTCCCCGGCCCCAGTTGGTCGTGCGGGTGGCAGCCACTCGATGTGTCCCTTCATGTCGATGTTTCTCTTTCTCTCTCTCTTCCTCTCTCTCCCTCCCTCTCTATCTGAACAAAAAATGGAAAAATGTCCTCGGGTGAGGATAAAAAAAAAGAAAAAAAAAAAAGATTATTATTCAAATCTTTTGGGAAAGATACAAAGGATGACAGTATGTCAAAAAAATAAATATTCTCTTTCCACACAGTGGCATATACCCTGAAAGCACCTGAGTACTATGAAAGCATGCATAACAAGGATTAAAGATATTGTCAGTTATCCAAGTTTTGTGGAAGCCTGTATCATTAATATAAATTAACTGGATAGCCCTATTTTTTACACCCTATAACCTACTAGTGAAAAATCTCATTTCTTTGACATTGCAAAACCATTCTATTTTCAGGCATTCAAAAATAAATTAAGTCACAAATTTCTTCAGAAGGCTCTTAATTTACTAATCATTTATTCAATTCACTCAAGAAATATCTTGACTACCCACTGCATACCAAACATTTTATAAGATGCTAAAGGTACAATAATGAATAAAATAGTCCCCATCTTCAAGTAAACAAATTAGGCAGTAAGTGTTACTCTCCCATTTAAAGCATCCATTGAGGTTGAACACAAATAGCTAATAAACAGAAAATGATTTTAATATTACAAGAAATCAAAGAAATGCAAATAAACTTACCAGGAATATTTTATTATTTACCAACCAAATAGGCCACAAATAAAAAAACTGAAACCACTAAGTATTTACAGGAATGTGAAATAACAGGTATTCTCAGACATAGCTAGAACTATTAATGGATTATAATCTCTGTAAAGATTTGGTTTTTCTTTTTCATTCTCTTAACATGGCATATTATTCAAGGAGACTTTAGAAGTTGAACCATCTTTGTATACTTTAAGAGAGAAGCCTTACTTGGTTATAATGTGTATTTTTAGTACACAGGTGAAATTGTTTTGCTTTGATTTTATTTAGAAATTTTACATGTGTATTCATAAACAATGTTGGTCTACAATGATCTTTCTGTGCTGTCTACATCTGGCTTGATACCAATGATAAACCAACCTCATTACATGTGCTGAGTAGCTTTTTCCCTTTTCTGTTCTCTAAAACCAAATTATTCCAGGTTGTTTAAAGATTTTATTGTGGGGAAAAAAAAACTTTTAGAAGACAATATAATTTTAGTGATCAAGTTAGATGAAAACAAATCATAGAAAAAATTATTCTTCACCCCCCAAAAAAGGTCTTTGAAGACATGTTCCTGAGAAGAATAAATGACTGGTTGGATATAGCTCCTTCAACCTATTACATGAAACAAGCAACTTGTTCCCTCAAATAAGATAATCTTACTGATAATTACATAGTTCAAAACCACGTTCTAGTCACATTTTTAAGAAGCACTGTTTAAGAGTTTCTCACTATTCTACTTGTCTTCATGACCCTACCTTTGCTACAAGAGGGGACATACCTGGTGGCCTTTCACTCTTACCTCTGATTGCAACTAATCTAATCTAACTGACATCACTGTAAACTCAGAGCTATCCACCTCTAACAAAGAATCCAAAACAGGCCAAAGGATGTAACTGAACCAGACCTCATTAAGTATCTCTATCAACTTAACTTGATCTTTGCCTCCCTTATCTTCAAGAGAACCACAAAATGTGTCCGATTCCTTGGATTAGTTACTCATTATCTTCTCAGAGATTACCGAGATACTGAAATTAGCGGAAGTGATCAGGCAAAGGTCTTAAAACAACTATTATAGATATGCTCAAGGTCTCCGATGAATGAATAGGACATCTCAGCAAAGAAAGAGAATATTAAGTGGAAAGTTCCAGAAATAAATTATTTATAAGTTTTGAATTGCGTACTCTTCTGATAGTGTGATGAAATCTTACTCCATTCTGCCTGGGATGTGAATAATTTCTTTGTCCAGTGTATCCATGCTGTATGTATCACCCGTCTCTTAGACATTGAGAAGCCATCTCGGTTACCAGATTGCCTGTAAAGGTATCACAGTACTTATGTTCAAGTAACTTTTATTTTACTGACTAATGGCCTCATGGAGCAAGAGTAGTGATGCTGGGAGTTCAGATAAGCCAAAGAGAAGCCATAAGTGCTTCCTTTAAGGGAAAAGGTGAAAGTTCTCAACCTAATAAGGCATTTTATATTTATCATCTATAATATTTTGAGAGACCACATTCATATAAATTTTATTATAGTATATTGTTATAATTGTTCTACTTTATTATTATTGTTCATCTTTTACTGTGCCTAATTTATAAATTAAACTTTATCATAGGTATGTATGTATGTATAAGAAAAAAAACAGAATATATATAAGGCTTGGTACTATCTGCAGTTTCAGGTATCTGCTGGGGGTCTTTGAACAAATCCCCACATATAAAGGAGGCTACTGTACATATGGCAGCATCTGTTTTCTCAGAATAAAGGCATTCTCTAAGATATCTCCATAGAATTATCAATTTAGCAAATCCTGATACAATAATATTATATAAATTTAATATGGAAATTTCCCTATTTGTCCCAGTAATATCCTTTACAGCACTGTTTATTTTTGGATATAAGGTCCAATCCATTATAATAAATTGAATTTCATTGTTATGCCTCTTTAGTCTCTTAATCTAAAGTAGTTTTTCAGACTGTGTCTTTCAATGTCCTTGACATGTCTTAAACTTGTCACACCACAAGCCAGTTGCTTTGTAAATTGTTCCTTAATTTAAGCTTGTCTTATTTCTTTGTGATCAGATTCAGGTTTTCCATTTGGGGCAGGCATGTGGTCATAAGTGATAGTCTGTTTATTCTCAGTGCATTAAGCCAGGAGGCACATAATGTCATTTTGTTCAATATTGTGATGTTGTGTTGATCACATTAGCTATTAGCCATTACTCCCAGTAACCTAGTTTCCTTTCTGTGAAAACTGGTAAACAGAAGCCAGTGTTTGGCTATTTGTGTTCACTGCTGCTGCAGTCCTGGTGTGTCATGCTTCAGTGCCTTCAGTGTATTACGGTTGGTGGGTGGGTGGGTGGGTGTGGGGGGGTTTATATTGATACTACATATTCTAACTTAACACCAGAGGACTCTTTCTTGATTCCCCTTTCCTCCATATTTGTATGTTTTCACATTAGGATGCCAGGCTCCCAACAGCAGCTATATATTACTCATTTGTTTAATTAACTACAATACACACAAAATACAAAATAGTTTCAGAATTGCTACTTAATATTTCAAACAACAAATCTAAGAGTTCTTTGTATTCTTTTTGTCACTAGACTGAGGGTATATATTCAAAGTACCTCCTTCAGAAGTTACTTAGATTAGTT